TTATATGAAATATCCAGATAGATAAATTCAGAGGTACTGAATGCAAATTGGTGGTTGCCAGGGCCTGAAAGGCACAGTTTAAAGTGGATGGATTTTTTTTTAGAGGTCATGAAAATGTGTTGGAACCAGGAAAAAGTGATGGCTGCACAACATTCTTAATGTCCTAGATGGTGCCGAATTGTTAATTTTAGATTAATTTTACCTCAATTTTAACAATTAAATTACAAAATAAAACCTTCTTTCAAGCCTAGAAGGATAACTAATCTGATTATGATTATTCTTTCCTTCTTTACACTGAGCCTTCTCTTACTAGATATGCCAGCAAACTACTAATTAGAGAACTGGGAACTGTAAATTATAGACATGGTAAGAATGGCAACAGCAGAAGAAAAACAGTGGACCTGAAAGAAATCAAGAAACTTCTCATTAACTAGGAAGTTTTGTGCCTCATGCTTTAGCCTAAGAAAATGGATTCCAGTGAAGATCCCAGGTGCTCTGATTTTCAACTCCAAATGTATCAAAAGGCTAATTTCAGTGCATACTTTGTTAATAATCTGAATATTCCCATGCATGCAATAACAGACTGTATATATAATATACATTGTCTAGAAGTTAGCAACTTTTATTAGTTCCCAGACACAAACTACAAACTTAAGAATATCAGTAAGGCGTGTTTTCATTTCCTCCAGCAGCAATGGGCTGTGACTAATGTTGGACAGATGATTTCTCTGGATTATACTTTGCAACAAAATCTTTTCACAATATTCTGCCCATCGTGATTATCAGTTGTAATACTGGCTGCAGTGCCTTCAAACTGAAGTGGCCGATCACTTTTATAATTATAAATTTAAAGTGGCGTTAAATTTACTCACATACAGGTTTCAAAAATAAGTCTGTGTTTTCAATACATTCTGAAAGACATCAGGTCTGTGTCTGTTCTATATGTACTCACCATTAGAGAGCATTCCTATTCATTTCAAAATGCTCACCAGTGAACTATATTTATGGAAGTTATAATTTCTATTTACTATAAAAGTGTTTTAAAAACATATTCATAGGAAAATGTGTACCATAATTTGAGTTACAGTTACTAAACTAGACAGCAATCTATAAAATCCTTAATAAAACATAAAATGACTTCTTTTAAAAATATCCAGGTAGGCACATTTTAAAATATACATCATGTTGGATTGCTGGCAATAAAATAGAATAGAATACTTCCTCCACACAAACAAAAATGCATGTATAAGGTTATTCCACACTACTTGGCAAATGTTTGCTTTTTAGTTCCAGTTTTTTTTGTTGTTGTTGTTGGTTTTTTTTGGCAGCACTGGGGTTTGAACTCAGGGCCTCACACTTGCTAGGCAGGTGCTCTACCACTTGAGCCACTCCACCAACCCCAAATAAGGTAGTTCCAGGTTTTTTGGGGGATTTTTTTGGCATGCTTTTTAGATTAAAATGAATATATACATTTGGCGGTATATTTCTTCTTTCTCATATAGACACATAGATTCGAAGTGAGTCTTTGCATTTTGAAACACATATGTTTTCAGACTTTTATGATACTCAAAGACAGCATTTAACAGAAATTCATGTCTTCAATGAGATTACCTTAAGCAATCTAATTGCGGTCACCCAGCACGTCCTACTCTGCTCTTCTTCCGCACAGAGCATTTTCAGGTCTCGGGGCCCTCCCGCTTTGTTAGGCTAGAAGGCCACAGCACATTGTTTATCGTTAATGCATATCTTGAAGGTAATACCTGTTGAAATAAAAGCCACTAAAATTCTCCTATATATAAGAGAAGCTCTCCTTTTAAAAGAAATTAAAAGAAACTCAAGCTTACCTAAAAGGCTGAGGCTTGCTTTACTCATCTATCAAAATATTAAGCTTGTACCTTAAAGCAGAATCCATAGTTAGTTGGTGCTCCATGTTTCTTTTTGCCTGCCAGTGCCACATAAATATCACTAGTGCCAAACTCGCTGAAAAACTGCAAATGCCGCGGCTCCTTAAAAAAAAGTGTTTAAAAGGGTACATATTTTTGCAGTATCTCTTTTTGCATTTCTATTATATTATGTAATCTATATCTCAGATAAAAAATATCCCAAACAGAATTTCCATATAATGTCATAAAAACTTTAAAAGGGAAAAAAGTCTTTATATCCTTAAATAACCAGAAACTGCATAAATTTTATTTAAATAGACAAGTGAAAATTTGTTTATAACTTAACTTCCAATAACATATAAGATTTTCTATTTTAAACGTTTTTTCTTTAACCACCATTTCAAAGAATCTGAGACAGAAAAGATAGTAAAGATTAACTGTTGAAATGGTTTTTTTTATCCAGGTTTCAAATAACATTGTTCCACACAAAGGGAAGGTTAGTTTGAGCTTCTGTAGCAGTGTTAAGTAGAAAAAGGAGGAAGAGAAGATGATTCCTGCTACGTTCAGATACAACCATCCCTCAAATCTGTGTGTTTCATAACACAACACAGGAAAGAATGAGACAGGCTATATGACTATCTTGTTCCAGGAAAAAAAAAAAAAAAGAAGCTTATACGGATGTGTTCAGGGAAATTACCTGGCAGTGGAATGTGTCTGATTTTCAAGGCAAAGTAGAATCATGAACAGCTATTTCTTTTGGGGGAAATCCATGAGAATTATAGCTGGTCATGGGAAATCACTGGGTCATTTTATTCTGTGATAGGTTAATAACTTGGAGAAGTGCTTAATTCTGAGGTTGAATATATAATCAAAACTGGCCAAAATGCATTTGTTCTAAAACCTTGCTACTAGTAGTGTGGTCTCAGACCAGCAGAATTCACATCACTTGGGAGCTCCTTAGAAATGCAAAGTCTCTGGGCCCAATCCAGGCCTACAGAATCAATATCTGCAATTTTACAAGATCCCATGTGCACTAAAACTTACGAGAGGTGCTCAAATACACACACACACACCATTCCACAGTACCACAACCCTATCCAAAGCCAAAGAAAATTCACTGTCATTTAGCAGTAGTTACTTCAACTCAAAAATTTCTCTGTATGTTACTGTTCTTAAGGATTTTAATCTAAGGAGTGAGTGTTATTCTTAACTCCATTAGAGAATAAAGCAGAAAACAAAGACAAGAAAAGAAAACTGAAACCCTGCCTAGGCTTTTGGAACAATGGGCAAGGAAGGCAAATGGTATTTCTATCACCATGGCTTTAACAAACTTATTCTTTGATAGCTAATAAAAATGCTTCATTTCTATAAAGATGGAACAAAATTTTTCCTCTCCACAGACACTGTAGAAGTCAATATAACTCAGTTCTTCATCTGGAAGTAAAAGTAGCTGAAGAAACACTGGCCTGTAAGATGCATGATGATTTTCTTCTCTTTTGTTCCACTACGGCAGACAGATCATACTATAAGGCTACAAGGCCGAGTTGGCCTCATTAACAAACTCTAAGTGTGCATATGTGTATGTAAATAAGGGGATAGAATGGGTACTTAGAGGTTTCCCTATAAATATAACTCACAGCCACATCTCCAAAACTTGTCACAGTGTTTACTAATTCACACATAGCCTTTGCAATTTTATAAAGTTAAATCAACCAAGACCTCATCATAGAAAAAGAGAACAGGAAACAGTCTCCTTGCTGAGTAGAGATGCCATATTAGTCATGAGATAACCTACATATTTTGTATAAAGGTCCTGATATCATTGAAGTCATCTAGTAGTCTCAAAATTTTCTTTGAGAAAATCATTTCCATGTGCAGACTAGAATATAATTTAACTGGAAGAATATAATGTAGTGATATATAGTGAATATTTTATAACATTTTTAACCAAGTCATATGACCAATTTGATCTTGCCTACTTCTGATGATTGGTTGTTATTACATGGGGGTAAAAAGAAAAGGTGTAAACTACATTGGGCCTCAAAGTGTGCTGCCTCAGATATCTTCAGATGAGAAGAAATAAGTGAAGTCAGGGTAGGGAAAATAAGCAATAAGTGTGGTACTTAAGAAAGAGCATACAAATTCCATCAAAGATATATAGGAATATATATGAAATAAAACTGAGTAGTTTTAAGATATATTATGGTAAATGTTTGAGATCTAAAAATAAATTACTAACTCTTGACATCAAATAATAATCAATATAACAAAGTAAAGTGTATTTTAACTTATAGCTAATTCATCATTCATAACACATCACAGATACTTCAACTTACCTTTGATGTACCTTTGGTAGAAAAATATAAACCAGATCTTCTTAGAAGGAAGTAAATTTTTTTCCAGGACTTCTTTCCCTGTTCTTTTGCATGTAAGAAACCATGGATTTCAGGATATGTGCTTGAACTTAGAAACATCTGGAAAAAAAAATTAGTCTCACAGTATTTTGGAAGCAATGATATTGTGGCCTTTTACTAATCAAATATAAACATGTAAAACCAAATACTATCAAGATCATTTATGTATCATTACAGAAACCACATCGCATGTACAATAGGAAAAAAGGCTTTCAAAAATCTGAGGCACATTCCTGATGAAAATGCATTCACAAAATAAACATTGTAAGTGATTGATACTCAAATACCAAAATTGTGTTATTTGAATGTCTTTTTCAAAAGTTGGACATCATCTATAGAGTTAGGTCCTAATACTTTTCATCAAGTTCATTATGTTGTTCTGTACAATCACAATCCTGATTTCAAATGTTAAGCAGGAAGTGGGGGCAAGTTCACCTCCCTGATGAGGGTATATAGCTATGGGTGGACACAGCAGGTTGAGTTGTCTAAAGAGAATTACATCTTCCATCCCATGTGCTCTTTGCAATGTGATTTTGGCATTGAGCCATGATTAGGTAGTCTGCTTCTCTACCCCCTTGAATATGGGTAAGCCTGTCACTGTTTTGATCAGTATAATCTGGTAGAAGTGACACAGTTCTAGACAATCCTAGCCTGATGGCTTTGCATGACTTGACTCTTGGAAGCCAGTTGTCACATAAGAAGTAGGATTGCCCAAGAACATGGTATGTGAGAAGCCCGAAGAAACTGCAGAAGCCCTGGAAGATGAGACACCATGTGGAAATGGACAGAAAGGAGACAGAATACAGAGAACAGCTTATAAGGGAATCCTCAGTTCCCCGCCAGTAGGCCAAAGTACTTCAGAGATGACTCAGCTAGAAAACTGTTCCCAAACCCCTGCTCCTCAAAATTGCTGCCAGAATGTGAGGCAGCCATTAAGATTTGAAAGTTTGTTCCATGGTAAGGATTGACTGAAGCAGTGGGCCTCGGTGATGGTCAGGAAGAGGAAAATGAAAAGGAATAGCTCTATGTGAATACCTGCACTCAGTGTCCTTCATGAGAGGGCAGAAATTTATTAGTTTCTTATTAAAAGAAGAAAACAGAAATTGCTAAGAATAAACAAATACAAAAATGGAAAGACAAATTATTAACTAAAACAATGTAATATATTTTTAAAAGGCTATTCAGGGAAACACTGATAGTAGATATTTACATTTTTAAAGTAAATTACTAAACTTTCTAATGTAATGAGCCACAGATATTAATTAATTGACATGCAAAACAGGCAAGTAGGTTTTTTAGTTTGAGTGCTTTCCAACTTATTAAACCAAACCAATTAAATTTTTAAAAGAGAGTCATAGAGGTCACACTAGAAAAAGCAGAAACCTTTTAAAAAGTGGAAACATTGCCTCAGTGGACAGAAGAGGTCAGGGGCACATGCAGGACTATCTGATTACAAAGTCTATGATTTTTCTTGTTTTTATAACTTAACATTAAAGCAATATAACTAATAATCATATTAAAGGAAGATTTGGAAAAGAGGCAGAGAAGAAACTCCATTCTTCCACAGTGTCACAATACAGGGGTGAAACATTCAGAAAGCTGAGATCAGGGCTCCCAGGGACAGCTGCTGCCATTACCCTAATATTCTGAGGGATGCCACTGTGAAACCCAAAGCATGGAAGCAGCTCATAGAAAATTCTCTTGGGACTAATCATATGCCTAAAATATTTTTATGGACTAAAATAAAATATGCCCTATTAAAAAGCACATCAGAAACAAATCTGTGATAGACCAACCTACTATATTAAAATATTAAAAGCCAGGCTATATTGGAAATATCAAAAGTTGTCCTCAGTAAAGTCCAGAGATTATTAAATAGATTTGGGAATGCTGGGCTTAGCAAAAACAGCAACTGTGAAAAACAACTATAGAGCTTCTGATACCAAGACTACTACTCTATCAAAAATGAAATGAAATAACTGAAATAGTTTATTTATTGTAATGAAATGCTTTAGAAAATGATCATCTCAAACAACTGCCATTTTGGAAGAAATAAGCCCAGGAGATGCAACACTAAGGGGACTTTAATAAGAAAACTCATATTCTTGCTTCAGCTAGGAATATCTTAAAATTATATACAAATATTTCCATTGAGGCTATTATGAATGTTACTGTATGAAATATATTCTGTATTTTTCCTCCATTCATTTAATTGCTAAATATTTTACCACAAATAGGACTGAGGATATTTATTAGGAAAGCTAAGTATCTGCTGGTAAAATGACTATAATTCACTGGAAATTTTTATTTTTCTAAATATATTTTATACTGTCACTGAGCACAACTCTGCAGGTGTCCTTTCATTGTAAACATTTGAATTTTTCCTTAATTTTACTTTTTTATTACTGTACATTGTCACTGTAAACATTTTTAAATGTTTAAATGTTTAAGATCCTTTTGCAAGTGGCCAAAACTTGGAAGAATAATATTTTTAGGGACCTTTATTGACTTAGAGCATTTATTTATTTTTTTTTCTTTTTGATTTTACCTTCAGCGAAAGTTAATCATTCAAGATAAAACATTTCAAAGTACATAAATAACTAAGTAAGAATAATAAATTTCCCTTTATTTTGCTATTACTTATATTATATATTTTAATGAAAATATATTTTACCTGCAAAATTTGTGAGGGAGATATTTCACCATTGGTTTCAGTTGCAAAAGACACCATGTGTTCTGGAAAAAAATACTAACAAAAAGATACAAATTAAATTATTCCTGAACCCATGCTAGAAAAGATTCAGTTATGACCAATACAGTAATCTAAAGCAAATGTTCTTTAAACTAGTGTGCCAAAAATTCATACAAAGTGATTTAGAAAATGCCAGGCCTGAGACTCTACCCTTAGGTGTCTTAATGAATACATGTAAAGCTGTACCCAAAGATTAGCACATACTCTCCAGTGATGCCACGTGGAGAGATCCTGGTGCCTGGACTTACAAAACATTGCCCTCGAGCAGACAATGAACTTGTCCACATCTCTTCCCTAAGTACTGCAACCACTCTACCAGGTACTAGAAGACTATTAAACCCATTTTACAAAAATAAGGCTCATCAAAGTAAAGGACAAAGGCTGTATGTAAGGTCACAGCCCAGAACACAGAATATCCAGGACTCAGTAGGGGAGCTAAAAGTCCAATCCTTTCCACTCACTGTTATCATGAACTTGTTTAATCATAAATTCACCCACGGCAGATTAAAACAGAAATTCCCAGGCCTCATTCTTGGCGTTTCTGATTTCAGGAGATCTGGGCAGGTTTTAATAAGTATTGGGACTCCCCTAAGTAAATCTCATGATCAGACATGTTTGGGAAAATATATTCTACTGTATTTCTTCTAAGGCAGGGTTTTTCAATAGCCATTCTACTAACATTGTGCCTACTATTTCTGTATTGTGGGGAGTTCTCCTATGCATTATGTGGTGTTTAGTAGCAGGCTAGTCCCTACCAACTAGTAGTGGGCCTGCTCATTTTTGGTGTGGTAACCAAAAATGGCTCCAGATACTGTCAAAGCACCCCCAAGGTGAGAGCCATGGGCTCCAGGATCACAAAATGAATGTCTAGCCTTGTTGAAATAAAATAGGAAATGAGCACTAAACCATATTTCTTTAAATTCTTTCCTTAATAAAGATTTGCAACAAGAAAGCACTTTCCCTTCAAATCTAATTTTATTTAATTTTTATTAGAACTCTTATTTTTTGTCAAAGATCATCCCATTATGTTTCTATTAATAAGTTAAAATAAAAGAGAATGTAAGAGGTCTTTCAGGTTTTGAAAATATTCTATTATGGTGTGTATCATATATTTTCCATAAAAGATCACTTCAATCCAATTATCCAAAACTTAGTGTAAAAATGCGCTACAGCTGCAGAAACAAAAACAATTTAAAATAATAAGCCCAGAGGCTATTCTGACTCCTCAAGATCCCTAGTCTTCATTAGAATGTGACACACATTTACTTTCTTTTAAAGAGAACTATAATGAAAGTAGTGTTTACTAGATAATGTCCTGGTCTTTATCTCATTTCTACTTAGCTCAGAAATTACTGCACTGAAAACACAATAATTTGGAGAAGAAAGATTCATGCCAATATTAAATTTCTGGCTAAGCTACAACACTCCCAACAATAACCAATTACTTTAGAAATGATCTCACTTAAATTTTCCAAATTCTATGAAGAATATTAAACAATAATTTTTGGAATATTGATGACCTATAATAATTTATTTCCCAAATGAAACGTACATTTGTTTTGGTTTCCTTACAGTCAAGAAAAAGAATCAATGGCTCCCCTAAACTAGGTGTCCCAGTATTTTAGTTATGACTAATCACTTTTAGAATAAGAAATGTGAGTATAATTTTAAAGGATCAGAATCTTTACCTACGATTTACCAAATAGAACTGTATTGTATTAACGACCCTCTTCATGTAAAATTTAACTGATTAATTTCTATAACTACTCATGGAGATTACACTTACCATTGGATTTTTAAAGAATTCATATTTGGCATAATTTTTTCTAAAGTATAGCTTATTTTCTTCCTCCATTCTCCAGTTAGCTAGCACTTCAACTACCAGCTCATGGTCTTCTATTATTCTTTCTGTAAAGGAAGTTTCAGTGAGTACCCTGACAGATAAATAGACAAACACAAACAAATGTACAACCATACAAATATAGATTATGTATACATCATTATCAAACACAAAACATTTGAACTTAATTCTTAAATAAGACAATTGACACATTTTCTTATCAATTTTGAATTAGTAATGTAAATTTTCATACTAAAGCACTCATCTGAAAACAGAAATTACATAAAATATCACAATGTCCTTTTTGTTAATTCTCAATCTCCTTTTATTAGTATGTAAATTACAATATAAGTTTGATAACAAAACTTACATAAAGACATGAGAGTTATTCTTTCTCCAACTCATCATGGTGCCAAAATAAAAATATTTATTTCAAGTTGAACAATTCACCTCATTAAGAGATGAAGAAATTTTTTTTCTCACTTCCTTTCTATTTATTTATTTATTTATATTATTCATATGTGCATACAAGGCTTGGGTCATTTCTCCCCCCTGCCCCCACCCCCTCCCTTACCACCCACTCTGCCCCCTCCCTCTCCCCTCTACCCCCTCAATACCCAGCAGAAACTATTTTGCCCTTATTTCTAATTTTGTTATAGAAAGTGTATAAGCCATAATAGGAAGGAACAAGGGGTTTTGCTGGTTGAGATAAGGATAGCTATACAGGGAGTTGACTCACATTGATTTCCTGTGCGTGGGTGTTACCTTCTAGGTTAATTCTTTTTGATCTCACCTTTTCTCTAGTTCCTGGTCCCCTTTTCCTATTGGCCTCAGTTGCTTTTAAGGTATCTGCTTTAGTTTCTCTGCATTAAGGGCAACAAATGCTAACTAATTTTTTAGGTGTTTTACCTATCCTCACCCCTCCCTTGTGTGCTAAAGCTTTTATCATGTGCTCAAAGTCCAATCCCATTGTTGTGTTTGCCCTTGATCTAATGTCCACATATGAGGGAGAACATACGATTTCTGGTCTTTTGGGCCAGGCTAACCTCACTCAGAATGATGTTCTCCAATTCCATCCATTTACCAGCAAATGATAACATTTCGTCCTTCTTCATGGCTGCATAAAATTCCATTGTGTATAGATACCACATTTTCTTAATCCATTCGTCAGTGGTGGGGCATCTTGGCTGTTTCCATAACTTGGCTATTGTGAATAGTGCCGCAATAAACATGGGTGTGCAGGTGCCTCTGGAGTAACCTGTGTTACAGTCTTTTGGGTCCCCAAGAGTGGTATTGCTGGATCAAATGGTAGATCAATGTCTAGCTTTTTAAGTAGCCTCCAAATTTTTTTCCAGAGTGGTTGTACTAGTCTACATTCCCACCAACAGTGTAAGAGGGTTCCTTTTTCCCTGCATCCTTGCTAACACCTGTTGTTGGTGTTGTTGCTAATGATGGCTATTCTAACAGGGGTGAGGTGGAATCTTAGTGTGGTTTTAATTTGCATTTCCTTTATTGCTAGAGATGGTGAGCATTTTTTCATGTGTTTTTTGGCCATTTGAATTTCTTCTTTTGAGAAAGTTCTGTTTAGTTCACTTGCCCATTTCTTTATTGGTTCATTAGTTTTGGGAGAATTTAGTTTTTTAAGTTCCCTATATATTCTGGTTATCAGTCCTTTGTCTGATGTGTAGCTGGCAAATATTTTCTCCTACTCTGTGGGTGTTCTCTTCAGTTCAGAGACCATTTCTTTTGATGAACAGAAGCTTTTTAGTTTTATGAGGTCCCATTTATCTAGTCTATCTCTTAGTTGCTGTGCTGCTGGGGTTTTGTTGAGAAAGTTCTTACCTATACCTACTAACTCCAGAGTAGTTCCTACTCTTTCCTGTATCAACTTTAGAGTCTGTGGTCTGATATTAAGATCCTTGATCCATTTTGAGTTAATCTTGGTATAGGGTGATATACATGGGTCTAGTTTCAGTTTTTTGCAGACTGCTAACCAGTTTTCCCAGCAGTTTTTGTTGAAGAGGCTATTTCTCCATCATATATTTTTAGCTCCTTTGTCAAAGACAAGTTGGTTATAGTTGTGTGGCTTCATATCTGGGTCCTCTATTCTGTTCCACTGGTCTTCATGTCTGTTTTTGTGCCAGTACCATGCTGTTTTTATTGTTATTGCTTTGTAATATAGTTTGAACTCAGGTATTGTGACACCTCCTTGCATTGTTCTTTTGACTGAGTATTGCCTTGGCTATTCGTGGCTTCCTGTGTTTCCATATAAATTTCACAGATTTTTCGATAAGAGATGAAGAAATTTTAAAAGATTCAATAAGCATTAAAGATCTGGGAAGTTGAGAAAAAAATTAAAATAAGATGCTTCAAAAGAAAAATTTTAATGCAAGAATTTACTTGCATTAAGTATTTATTTTATTTTATTCAATTAAGAGCTCAATTCCTCAAGGTACTTTATACCTTCAAAACTAATATTAAGGAAAATACATTTTATATTAACAATGAAGAAAGATAATTTAAGGTGGAAAGGCACGGAGAAAAGAAACTTAAATGAGCTAAGCAATGACAACTTTAAAGAGGTAAAATATAACATGAAAATTTTCTATTTTAATAAGAAATTGTGATGATGATGTTTGTAACACTATTAGTCATAATAATCCCAAACTGGAAATACCCAAATGACAATTGATATAAAGAATGAATAAATAGGTCTTAAAAAAGAATGTAATGCATATTTATGACAACCATCCCCAATAAGTGGATGAATTTCAAAAATATAATATTAAATGGAAGACATCATTCACGAATAGGATATATTGCATGATCCCACATTTTTAAGACTCAAAACAGGGAAAATTAATCTATCACTCTAGAAATCAGGGTGATGAAGATATAGGGTGAGTGGAGCATGCAGGGAATAACAGGGAGGTGACCTGGGTGTTGCTTACTCAGGCGCACACAATTACTGAGAAGGCATCTAGCTGTCCATATGTAGTTTGCTCACTTTTTCTGTTTCCTTTTTTCTTTTTTTTGGTGGTGGCACTTGGGTTTGAACTCAGGGCCTTGTGCTTATTATGCAGGCACTCTACCACTTGAGCCACACCCTACATGCCCCAATCCTTTCTTGCTTTAGTTTTTGTTTTTAATAGTGTCCCATTTTTGCCTGGGGCGGGCCTTAGACTTTGATCCTCCTGTAGGTATGCTCCACCATGGCCTGTTTGTTTGCTGAGTTAGGATCTCAGGAACTTTTTGGCAGGGCTACCCTTGAAAGGAGATGAAATTATAGGTGTAAACCACTACACCTAGCCCCATCACTTTTGTTACTATATCTTATTCTGCAATAAAAGGTTGGGGGGAAAAAGAATCACAGGATTATCAATGCAAAAGAGAAAATGGGGAGCAGCCAGTTAAGAAATATGAAAATTCTCTGCATTTTTAGTGTTTCTAGGACCTTTTTGAAAAGTATCTGTGTTTTAGAAATTCAACACTCAGAAGTGATCTGTGACCTACTACCCCCAAACCCTTGAAAGTAAAGTTATACTTAAAACAGAAGCTTATTCATTTGAAAGGAAGTTCTTGAAAGAGGAGTGCTCAATGAATATGGATGAGTTTGAGCTAAGTGTACATCAACACTCTGGATTCTGTTCCTAACTTGGATTGCTCCTTTTCTGTCTCACTGACTGGCTCCCTTCTCTGCCTCTCTTTCCTAAGACTTAGTCATTGACTTTACTCTTTCCTTTCTCTCTCTCTAAATGAATTCATTCTTCTTTTGTTCCATTACATCTGTCAGTTTCCTTGAAGTGAGATCTCTACCTACGATTGTTTTCATACGTGCTACAGTATTAACTATGATATTCTCCACCACCTCAGACACAGTTGTCGAAAACCAAAGTGAATATGGTGGTTCTTCAAACCAGTAAACAGAATTATCATACAGCACAACAATGCCACTTCTGGATATATATCGAAAAGAAGTGAAAGTAGAGATTCAAACAGGTATTTGTACATAAAATATTCACAGTAACAGTATTCAGAACAGCCAAAAGGCATTGCAATGGGCATTGTTTCTCAATTCAATGCCCATCAAGGGATGAACATGCAAAGTGGATAGGCAACCTTAAAAAAGAATGAAGGTCTGACATATGCTATAACATGGATGAACCTTGAAGACATTCTGCTAAGTGAAATAAGACAGACACAAAATACTATGTAATTCTATTTATATAAGGTATTTACAATGATCAAATTCATAGACACAGAAAGTAGAATGGTGGTTGCCGTGGACTTGGGGAAAATGGGGAACTAAGAGTTACTATGAATTGGTATACAGTTTCAGTAAGTTAAGCTAAAACATTGTAGAAATAAATGTTGGTATAGTTTGCACAAAAATATTAATACACGTAATGCCACTGAACTGCATATTTTAAAACTGTTAATCTTGCAAATTTTATGTTATGTGCATTCTACCATAACTTTAAAAGAATACCTGAACAATAAAATAAAGTTATCTTCCTTTTCATATTCCAAACTGCTTTTTCTTCCTAAATTCATTTATCTCTATTACTGTTAGTATCATTTTTACCGCACTCTGTCAAAGAAATTAAAAATTAAAACTCTCACCTTTGCACATTTTTTTTACATCCACTCCAACACCCTTTACTCCTGATAGCCCCAGCTGCCATGTGTTCTTCCTCCAAGTGCGTCTCACAAACCACAGTCATTCCCACTGTCACCACTCCAATTTAGCCCTTCATCTTATAAAGTCTCTTGACTAATCCCCGAACCTCTTGTTTCTTATTCTTCCACTCCAACTTGGACAATGAAAGCAGAAAAAAATCCCCTAAAACATCTGTGCCAATGTGAATCCTGCTCAAAAAGCTTGTCTACTTCTACTTATTCTGAGATAAACGCATGTAGTTTTGTAGTTGTAACTTATTCTTTTATTCATCCATCCAACAAATATTCACTGAAGGCCTGTCATTTGTCAGACATTCCTCTTGGAGCTGGGAATTTTGTTGTAGACAACACAGTAAGAAATAACTAACTACACTGAGCTTTGATTTTA